GATGATTGATGTGTTGCCTTCGCTACTATTAAATATATAGAATACTAATAGGTTGGCAGCAGCAGGGGCTGCCGCCCCCCCGCACCCCCCCCGCTCTAGCTCAGCACCCCAGCTAGCAATCAGGATCAGATTCAAAAGGGTGTCCAGCCAGGTAGCGCCGCGCTAGAGAAAGAGCTTCCACGCCTTCCTTTCGGAGACATACCATCAGAGCTTCAACTTCAAGGGGCCACTTGCTTTTACCTGAGAGCAACCTCTCGCAGCAATGGGCGGGGGCACCGTCCCTCCGGAAGACGGCCTGGGCGAGGAGCACCAGCGCACGATTGCCTTCTTGTATGGGGTGTGCGATGCCGCGGCATTCCCTAGAACAGGTAAGGTCAAAACCCTTTGTTGGGAGTTGTAGTGGTGTTTGTTAGGAAAGGCCAGCTGGGGCTGCCAGAAAACTCCCAGTGGGGGATTTTTGACTTGCAGGTGGGCAGTGGGGAAGAAGGATGTCTAAAGGGACCACCCCGTTGTGGTTTGACAGTACACTTTATGTTTGGTGCAAACACCACTGTGTACAGAATTGGGTGGTCAATTTGTAGGGACCTGATCAGCAATGCTCATAAGCCTGCGGCGGAAGTAATTCCCCTATGCTCTAAGAGCTACATAGACCTTGACATCCCTTAGACATCATGGGTTTGCCCAGATGGTTTTGTGTCTTCAAGAGCCCTTACTTCTACTTTTTGTTTGATGAACGTGCATGACAAGACAACTGGTGGTTATGCCCCCACTCAGCTCCAACTCGTGTGACCTGTGTACATGTTTGATGGGGATGATCCCTTGGGTTTGCCACCTGGAAATTAGGCTGTCCCAATTAGTGCTGACGAGCTGAGTAGGCCGCTGGGCACCGAGAGCCTCAGGAGTTGGGAGGATTAAAGCTCTGCCAAACAGGATTCAGGAGGGGGTTTGTTGGAGGACGAACTGCTTGCTTAAAAGGCACTGACATCTGAGGAGGCGATGTTAAGCAACATGATATAACAAATTGAACGCTTTGCATCTGCCTATGTAATTGGTTCATGAGCAAGTGCCCCTCCTGCCAATAAAGATATCAACAATGGGTTCTTGTCTCTTTGATCATGTCTGGTTTGAAACAAGCCATGCGAGCCGATGGTCATCCTGCGGCAGCTTTTATCCCCATGTAGTTTCTTCAGTGACTTCCGTCATGCCTTACTGCCAGCTTTTCCCTTCAATACGCCCACATTGACCTGCCCCTAATTGTCAGTCAGTCTCTCGGTTTGTTCAAAAGCTGGGGCAGCTTTTCAAGCTTGCAAGACTGAACAGCAGAGCACAACAGTACTCACAGGACTCAGGTTTATGGGGGGGTTTGGATTATCCATTTTGGTATTCTGGTCATTTGGATTATCATGCAGAAGAAGAACTGTAGAGTGTATTACATTTTGTGACAAGTTTAGGTCACGTATGTATCAACATCACCCGGTCCCTCAGACTATGGTGCGCACCGCCAGACTGTGCCCTTCCTTTTTATGGGACACCTCATTCGCCTCCTGCTCGAGTTAACCTGATCCTGAATACCACACTCGCCTGTTGGCCTCGTTGAGATACATCTGAGAAATAATCAGCTTCTTTCGAAACTGGGGGCTCTTTATTTACTTACACCGCTTTGGCAGAGCTGCCAGAGAGATGAAGCAGGTCATGTTTGAAACCAATCCTCCGTCATGTCCCGCCTTCTCTAAGCCATCAACTAACTGCCCTCTTCTTTGCAGGAGTCGACTTTAGCAAGCTGCGCGAAGACTACAGGCAGGTGGATGAGGAACTCAATGGGCTGCAGGTAAACGCGCATTGCATCCACCTCCGACAAATATTAGCGGAAGGTTCGAGTTCTGACAGTCTCAGACATTTGGAAATGCAGAAAGGAGGAACTGCTAACGTTATTACTATGACTTCCTCAGTTTGGAGACTCCTGTGAAAAGCCTGCCTTTGAAACCAGCCGGGCAGCTTGAAGGAAAGGTGTTGCAGTGGAGACCTCTACTAGATCCCATAAAACGCCTTACATCCTTGGGTGAAATCGAAGGTTGTGGCTGCGTTGTTTTGGCTCCTATTGACCCTTCTTTGGAAGCACGACTCGGGGGCCTCTAACTTGGCCAGCACGAGTCGATCAAGGATATTAAAGACAGTACCAGGCGAAGCACGGTCACCTCGTTCCTGCTCTGGTCTAATCCGGTGACTGGTCTTTTTGGTGGTAAAGCGGGAAGTCGTGTATTCTTGGCTGTTCATATGGTGGTAGATCGAACATGTGTCTCGACAGCTGTTTCCTCATACCGCTGCAGCACACCAAGTCGCTGGTCAGCAGCTTCGCTGAGCACATTGAGATCGTCCTCCAGATGAAGCAGGCGGCCCAAAGGCATCAGGTAATATTCCTCAACGAAATTGATACAAGGCTTCCGCTGATGCATTCGCTCAGGACCTGAACTTAGAGATGCATTCGCTCCAAACCAACTCTCACTCTATATCCGCAAAGTAGCCCACTTCGGTTTGAGTGCTGTGACGTTATCATATCTTGATAAGTGTCTTTCTTGAGATCAATCGTCAGGTGCCGCATACGAGTTCGTTCCTAGGCTCGTCACAGTTGCCTGGATTCTTGCATCCTTTCACTGCTAAAACGATGTTGGCTGGTTGGATAAAATTTCTCCTTAAGCTTCGAAGCAGACTGCATGTGAGGAAGAGGGGAAGGCTGGCGACGTTTTGAGGCTAGCTTAACCGGGAATCTGGGAGTCGTAGTGGTTGTCTCTGGTAGTACGCCTCTGTCCACCAGTCTCCTCAACTGAGTTCCGAAGCCGGAACATAGTCAGTCGATTTTCCTTATTCTCTGCAATCAGCATCTAGCTCAAGCTCAGTCATCGAGAAAGTGTCAGCCCATCCACCGCGTCTTGTAAGAGTTTCGCTGCGCATGCCTGCACTTGCCAATGGAAGGAACAAGTACGTGACTCTCCATGTATTTTCTTCCAATGCGGGGAAACAAATCCGTGACTCTCACCTGCCTTCTTACCAATTGAGGGTATCAAATATGTGTGTCTCACCTGTGTTTTTTGTCCCCCTTGTGCAGGAGCTGGAGCAGAGCACGCAGGAGCTGGTGGAGCGGTGCGACCGCCTGAGCGAGGGCCTGCGCAGCGTCGCCTCCCTTCTTCCCGCAGTGCTGCTGCAACACGCGCCGGGAGCCAGGTGAGGATCAATTGCTAGTCACGCGTTCTCTATCGTCTTCTTAGGTTTCAGCGTTGTCTCTCGGAATGTTGTGCAAATTGCGCCCCGTATCGGACCTCAGCATTGCTGCAACACGCGCCGGGAGCCAGGTGAGGTGCATACTTGCTAAGCACGCGTCGTTTGTTGCCCGTTCGCTTTCTCGTTGCCTTTCAGTTGCTCTTGAGTTTCTGGTTCTGCAAAAGCGCTGTAGGCCAGGGGGGACCGTTGCTTGACTTTAGGTTTGATCTTTCTTTGCTTGAGTTCTATATTTCACATGTTGGACCGCCCCCGAGGGGCGCCAGGGCTTGCCTCTAACGGGGGCCTATGGGCGGAGGATTTTATCGGTGTTCAACGGCGATGTTTTCGAGAAGATCGTTACTTAAGTTGCGATATATTAGAAGAATCAGCCATAGCTTATATATTATGTGTGGTTCTGGTTGACTGATTGATTGATTGATTGATTGATTGATTTAAAAGTTGACACTGCCTTTCTCGGGTACGATACCGGGCACCGTGGCAGGATCTTGACGCTAGAATCTGCACGTGGAAGTATCGTGGCCGTTAAAAGCTGGCAAAACGTTACAGCGTTACATAAAACTTTCAGCGGCCTACGCGGCCGGCTTCGATGCGATACAGACAATCTGCGCCGCTCTGCGGGGCAGTCCACAAGCAAAACCCATCATGGTATGAGTGTTTTTGGGTGGCTACTGTACGTGTTATCGTCGAAGGCAGGCAAACAAGGAGAAATCTCATCGACTGGTCACTCAGGTAGCCGCTCACCACGTCGTACAGTACGGAAAATACAGGAAAACTACAACTTGCGTTTTTACTACGTAAAAAAAGAGGCAAGCCAATATTGGGTTCACTATCAGATCCCTCACAAAGGATGTCCTTACATTCAAGCGCTCACGTTCGTTATTGTATCCGACTTCATATTCGTCCCTTCTGGTCCGCACTCCCTGTCAAGAGTTGTTTCCTGCTATCGCGTTCTCTTCTTGTGCTTAACATACCCAAGACATTCACAATCAAGTCTGTGCGTTTTTTTCTGTAAGACGCTCTGCGAATCACCCTCAAACAATCTTTCTGCAAAAGCGCTCATATGTGAGCAAACTGAATTCATCGAAAACGTGAATCTAGACAGAATCTGAATTATGCATTTGTTTTCAGGCGCGCAATGGACCTCGCATGGAACCGGCTGCGCAGCCTGGGGACGCAGATCCAGGGCACCGCCGCAGCCCACCGGGCCGTGGGGCAGGACTTACAAAGCTTGGCGGTGAGGACGCAAGCTTCTTTTCTACTTACTAGAATTTCGACGGTTAGAACCTTAGGGTTTCGGGGTTTTGTTGTCGGCGTTGAGCGCCCCAAAAGCGGCGTTCTTAGGTCTGGACTCTGTTGAAGAGGGCGCAGGCTTACCTTGTCAAAACTAAGGTTTAGGAGATCATGAGTTGGGCTTTCGAAGTATCATCCATGAGGAGTTCTGTTGTTTAGCGACCCAAAAGCGACAATTCTTTTGGGGCCGGGCCCCACAACACGTTTCCTTGTAGCTCCTCAGCACGTGGCTGGACCACACCTCGTTTCTCGTTTCGCTTGCTCCTGGCACAGGCGATCGTAAAAAACTTTCAGCAGTGTCGCACAGTCCGAGCACCCATCCGTTTCCTTGATACACAAGACCGTGTCAAGATTCTGTCGTCCCTTCCGGTTCTTTTGTCGATTTATTGCCGAAGCTGCGTTGTCTCAACCCCCTGCCACTTGGCCCTGCGGTCAATGGAGCGCTTCTCCAAGTTTCGGACCAAACGTTGGGATTCCAGGAGCATTCCGCAATGGTTTGGTAAAAGAATATTTTGATGCTCTTTGCCATACTTTCGCTCAAACGAATTGCTCATCGTTTCTTTCCGCCTCCCGCAGGAACGCGCGCAGGCAGTCGTGAGGGATCCCTCTAAAGCCGACATCGGTGTCGCTGCGGCGCCAGCCATGGGGGGCGGGGCTGGCGCGCTGGCCGTTCTCGTGCTACGAGGTGGGTATGCTGACGTGGACAACTTCTTTCACCGTACCGTGCTTCTAGTGGAATGCTGACGTGAACAATTGCGTCCCCGCCTCTTGGTGTGGTGAAATGCTAACGTAAATACTTCTCTTTTTCGAAGCGACCGAGTTCTCCCCCCATCCTTTTGCTGTATTTCGTGGACAGCACATTCCGTATCTTGCTTTGAATAATGACAGAATCTGTCGGCGCGATCGAGAATCGGTCCCGCATTCTCCCGGTCAAGAGTGTCTTTTTGGTGGAAAAGTTCAAAAGGCCGCTTGATTGGAAACAGAGTCGTTTTTACGGAGCTTCCCAGGTCATTCCTTCTTCAGCCCCAGGTTCTCTATTCAAATCTGCTTGCATACATTGGGTCGCCTAGTATGATGCGACTGGGACACGTTTTGCCACCTCATTCACGCACTGCTATCGCTTGACCCTCCCCGTGAAACTAGCACCTGCGTATGAAACTCAACCGTCCCGCCACAATATCCCCACAAAGAAGCACCTGCAGCGATCCTCACGTTAGGCTGATGTCAGCCCCCTTCTGCAGGTGTGCTCGGCCCCTGGGCTCTTCCAGCAAGCGCGGTGGCGGGCGCTTTGGGGGCCGTGGGTGCGTCGGTGCTGTCGGAACAGACGTTACATCCGGAAGCGCGCACTACATTTGCTCTGTAAGTACAATTACCTGAATATGTTTTCTTTCGCTGTACGATTTTGATTCAGACCCTCAGTTTCCAGATTGGCTATTGCTCTTTTGCTGACGTGAGTGCTGACGTGAGTGCTGCATGGAGATCTCGGGGCCGTCGCACAGACGTTACATCCGGAAGCACATACTAACCTTCGCTTATCAAGTACATTCCCGCGTAAGCCTTGTTCTACGCTTCGGCGCTTTTTGAGGCGCTTATTAAACCTGGTTATTGTGGTTCTGACTGATGTCAATCGCCGGCGTGCGGGTGTCGGTTCTCATCTGAAAGCGGTTATTGCGTTCGCTCTGTAAGTACGTTCGCTCGTGAGCCCCGTTCTACGCGTCAGGCGCTTCTTGAGTCACTTCTCGAAGTCTGGTTTGGCACCTCCTTACTTGACGTCTCCCCCACGTCTTGCAAGAAGGCGCGCCTCCCGTAAGAAGCTCAAAAGATTTTGAATATCAATTGCTGTCAAAAGATATTCAAGAAAGACGGTGCCTCTCTGCGTCTCAGTCTCCAGAGTGGACCCACCGTCCACTAGTGCCTCGGATCGCGATTGTACAAAACCCCCAAGCGGATCTCACTGTTCTGATCTTTCCGGGGGACTGATGGCCAGCCATTTTCTCCCCCCCAGGCTGCAGAACAAGCTGGAGCTGATGTCCGGGCTGGTCCGGAGCAAGGCGTCCGTTCTGGACGTCCTAGCGAGCAACCTGCAGGCCGCCGCGGGGCAGCTTATGGCGGTGAGCACCTGCCCGGAGTTAGCCTATGAAAGGTTGCCACATCCGTCAGGGCCGAGAGATGCACGTTTGCACTGCAAGAGGTGGCGTCGGCTATTATGAAGTCTCCGATAAGTTTGGAGTCTATCAGCCGACTCCTAACGAAGCTTCTCTTCTTTTTCTTTTCTGCTATGACTAAGCTCTGCGCTCCTGCCAACGGCTTTTGGAGCCACAATGCGCCGACGAAGTGGGACGTTTTCTGCGCATGAGTTTTGACTTTGCAGTTGGGTTTGTGCGCCCCTTTTGAAGTCCAAAGACTGTTTTGTAAGGGACGTTGTCCAACTTTGGTCGCGTATGATCTATGGAAGGCGTCTCGTTTCGCAAGTATTGAACACGTTGCATCTTTGCTTGCTTATTGCCTTTCTTTGCTTGCTTGTTTCTGTTTTCCTCCTCAAGCGTTCCGTTTTGCTTTCCCTTGTTCTTGACTAGGTGAACGACATAGCGCTGGACGGGAGCGACGATGCATGCACCTTGTTGCAAGAAGGCGTCGCCGCGTGCGAGCTTTCGCTGAGGTCGGTTGAAAGCACGTGCGAAGTTTGCAATTACACATCCAGTGCGTTCATGGCTGTCGTCGCCGATTAGATGAGAAGGCGGTGGCCAACCTTAAGAGGTTTTCTACTTGAAGCAGCTTCTAAAACTCAAATGTACATATGTGGAATACTAGAGAGGAGTCGAGCTTTCTTTGACCAACCTGCCAGCTCTAGTGAGAAACTCTGTGCGAGTCCGAGTCAGTATGGGTACTGATCGACAAATTTATATTAGATAGAAACTGGCAGAAAGCTTGGAAGAGATAGTATTGGTGACGGAGATCCTGCTCCTCATGTAATATGGAACCTATGGCGACTTTAATATCACTGTCCATCGAGGGGATGTCATCCAAGCGTGCGTTTTGAGCATACGTTGTGCCCTTGTAAAAAGAAGCTGTAAGCCGGGCCTAGTCGGAATGTATGGGGGGCGTATCTTTTTCCCCTCCCAGAGCCGGGAATACTAGAGGCGGCCGCTTTGTACGAGCCTCACTATGCGCCAACCATCGCTTCAGCTCACAGAGTCAGCGGAAATGCGATGTAGGATAGCCTCGTCAATGCATGCATAACTTATGTAGCGCACCGGAATCAGGGACATGTCCATGTTGTGCAATGACATTCACTGATCCGCAAGCCGTCCGAGTCGAAGTAACAGCTAGCTTCCGCATGTATGGCCAAAGTTTTGCGCGGGCGCATACCAGCGACCACTTAAAGGCCATGCATAGTACAGTGGAACGTCTCTCAGCTTTATGGGGCCTCGGAACTGCACGATCATTGAATCAATTTTGCGATTACTCGCCTAACTTAGCGGCGTGCGAGACTTTTGAGGCACTAAGAGAAGATAACAATGCGCCGGAGATGCATGGTCCGGTCGATTATAAAGCACGCAGTGATTGTCAGCCTTCGAGTGCCATTACACACCATGGCAGCTTGCAAGCTGAGTTCGACACGAGTTTGCCGCGGGCCAGCACGATTAACGATCACCCGCCAATCACCATGGTCCAATAGGGACCACGTCTTGAAATTGGTGAACTTCGGTTATACTACTGTATAGCTGCATGGCGTGGGCGTCCTGCACGCCGACGTGTTCTCCGAACTCCGCTTCGGCCATACATGCTAAGTGGATCGGTGCTTTCATCATCATACCGCACATGATGTACTCGATAACGCCCATATGTGCAATGAGACACTGAGTATGATGCTAGGGCTTTCTAAGTTAGCAAGAACAGGCGGGAGCATGCGCCTTTAAAAGCAATTTGCACATGCGGTTTTACATTGCAATAAGGCCACTCAATACAAACATCTACGACGCCGGATCCCTCGCAATATTAGCCCACTGCACATACATGGGAAGCATAGGCATAAGATTTCCTTGGAAATGATTCCAGACATTGTCCTACCGGAACGAGACTTCAATCTTGCAAACCTTCCTCCTTCCGAATCTGGAAACCGAAAACTTTCGCCGCGATCAAGTTCAAATTGATGTAACTTTCTAAACTTGGCCAATGCCTGCCAAGCGTCTGATAAAATTGCAGATGTTGATTAAGTTGAAGTGTTGAGACTGAAACGTT